ATTTCTTATTAAGAGCAAACCAATCATCTAAGAAAACTTTCTCCCTTTAACACAAAGAAAATTCTAATTTTGTACAAGTGTACTTTTGATAGTAAAACTGTTTTCTTTTTAACTTACGTAAGTCTATTTGAATCATAGTTCAACTACATATAAAATTCCTTTTTCAATATTTCTTTTCCACAGACCTTCTCCAACTTTCTGTATCTATTCAGCGTTCATTCCCAGTCTGTAGCTGTGACTCAGATCCTCACTTCCATGGCTAAAGCTTTTTACTGTTATTTGTGGTCTTTCGGAGGCTGTGGACTGGGTTCTGGGGAAGGGAGCTCCTACAGCAAGCAGTATTTTAAATAGCCTCCCTCCCCCGCTCCCCCTTTATTTTCTTCAGTCTCTGTGAGCAATGATTTGTTTTCTCTTGGGCTGTTTACATTTCTTTTTTTTTAAAGATTTTATTTATTTATTTGACAGAGACAGAGACAGCGAGAGCAGGAACACAAGCAGGGGGAGTGGGAGAGGGAGAAGCAGGCTTCCTGCTGAGCCGGGAGCCCGATGTGGGACTCGATCCCAGACCCTGGGATCATGACCTGAGCCAAAGGCAGTTGCTTAACCAACTGAGCCACCCAGGCGCCCTTGGGCTGTTTACATTTCAAAGACACGATAAGATTTACAACATCAAGGGAAAGAGAAAGAATGCAAGTTTTCCCCCTACTTTTTTGGGATCATTGCAATTTAAAAGGTTCTTTCCTATTACTGGTCGGAAGGCAGGGCACATTTTATCCATTTTCTCATCAGTTACCATAATATCCTTCTTTTCATTCTTATCACATTCTCAGAGATGCCATCTCTTAACTCCTACTCAGGCTTTGTCACAAATGCCCAGATCTTAATCCAAAGCATCTGGAGCCCTCCTAGCTTTTTACACAGGGTATGCTAAGACCTCTTTTTTTTTTTTTTTTTTTTTTTAAGTAGGCGCCACACGCAGCTGGGAGCCCAGTGCAGGGCTTGAACTCACAACCCTGAGATCAAGACCTGAGCTGAAATCAAGAGTTGATCGCTTAACCGACTGAGCCCCCCGGGGGCCCCTAAGACCTCTAACTTACCATCCTGCCCTCCCACCTTGTCTGCCAGCTCTGAAGCCTGCAGACTGGTGGACACCAGCACGTCCTCCCCTGATAGCTGTAGCTTGCTGACTGGAGGGGGGCGTCGGTGGTGGCGTGGCGGTGGCTCGAAGAACTGCCCGAGGCAGAGGCCAGCCCACTGCATGGCCTTGCTTCCCTTCCCTGCCGAGGAGAACTGTGTGCACTTCCTCAAACAAGCCCCTTCGAGCAGCTGGTGTTGTCAGGGTGTCCTGTACTCATGCAACAGGCCACAAGCATCTGACATGTGGGCCACCCCTGCCCACACAGAAGTCACCGGCTAACCCAGGATTTCCCTGCCATGGCCTCATTCCCAGGGCCCATTTCTGCCTGGCTGGCCTACCCGTTGCTGGTTTGCAGCCTCCTCTGGAGCTTCTCCAGGGAAATCTGAAACCAGCGTCTGTTGGAGGAGGGCAGGGAGGGACTGAAGAAAAAGGCAGGCCACTCTAGGGTTGGTAGGTGGCAGTTTTAATAAGCAAGGGAATTTACATACAAGACTTGGCTGGGGGGGGGGTGCAGCAAGGCGAGTGGATCCCCACACCCACCCACCCACTGCATCTTAAAAGTTTAGAAAGAAGCCTTAACTGGGTCAGTCATGTATATCGTGCAGATGTTCTCGACACATCCCTATCTCAAGGCTGTGTCCTTGGAGCAGGCTCTGGGAGCAGGGAAAGGCACGCGGAACCCACATTCCAAGGACAGAGGAGGGGGTGAGGAGCCTCCAATCACTTGGGTCGGGCTCACACGTCAACTGGCGATCACATCTCTTGATGACCTCGCCCAACCCCTACTCAACACTTCCGCTCCAATCCCATTCCAGTCCTCATGCTGCAGCTCAGGTACCAAGTCCCCATTTTGCTTGGACAGCCTAGCACTTTGTCGGTGGAAGACCCTCAAAAAAGCCTTTCTGCATCCTTAAAAACTCCCAGATGCCAGTGCTACAAATCTGTTTGTCCACATTTTTCTCTCCTGCTCCCATGACGGAGCTTTGATAACGGTATGACTGATGTGAAAATTTAGGCTCTCCCTTAATAGAATAATACTGGCTGGAAGCAAAGGCACAAAGAAAAGTGTGGCTGCTTCCCCTGCATCCATTCTCCCTTCTCTTGGTAATGACCTACTTTTCATTTGGGTCTTACTCTTATGTCCACTCCAAGCAGCCAATGAGGGAAGTTGGTTCTACTCTTGGTTCGAGAGGTGGGGTAGATGGCTCAGGCCTAAGGAAATAAGCATCGCCTTACATCCTGTGGCCACAGTGCAGACCATGAGGCCTCATTTGAACCACTGAGACCAGAGAAGCCTGTGGTGGTGCCTCTTTGCTTGCACACCTCAGGGGGGATAGATGAGGCAAGAGGGGCTGGAGTTGCATAATTCCCTTTCCCATGTGGGAGGATAGAGCAGGTCAGAGTTGGGTATTTCTGTTTTTTCTGGTTGCTTAGGTAAAACCCAAGGTAGTTAGGAAAATAGTTTCTCCTGAGGACAGGCCTTGGTAAGGCATTTCAAAAATGGTTCCTTTCTCCCTCCTCCTGTGAAAGCATGAGGTGCTTGTATGTTTAATGTTTTGAGGAACCACCAATCTGTTTTCCACAGTGTTCGCATCTGTTACATTTCCGCCAGCAATGTACAAGAATTCCTGTTTCTCCACATCCTTGCCCACATTTGTTATTCTCCTTTTTGCTGAAAGTCATCTTCCTGGGTATGAAGGGGTATCTCATTGTGTTCTGTTTTTTTTTAAGATTTTATTTATTTATTTGACAGAGAGAGACACAGCGAGAGAGGGGACACAAGCAGGGGGAGTGGGAGAGGGAGAAGCAGGCTTCCCGCGGAGCAGGGAGCCTGATTTGGGGCTCGATCCCAGGACCCTGGGATCATGACCTGAGCCGAAGGCAGACGCTTAACCATCTGAGCCACCCAGGCGCCCCTCATTATGGTTTTGATTTGCATTTCTGGAACGACCAATGATAACATGTTTGTTAACTATTTGTCAGGACCTCTGTACATTATTAAAAAGTATTGAGGAGGGGCGCCTGGGTGGCTCAGTTGGTTGACCATCCGGCTCTTGATTTTCTTTCAGGTCATGATCTCAGGGTCGTGGGATCGAGCTCTGGCATTGGGCTCAATGCTGGGCATGGAGCCTGCTTAGGATTCTCTCTCTCTCCCTCTCCCTCTGCCCCTTCCCACCCCCACCCCCACCCCTGTGCTCTATATCTCTAAGGAAAAGAAAAAGAGTATTGAGAATCCCAAATTCATCTGTGTAGTTATAGCTAGTGATGCCACATTTAGACACTAAAACCAAGAAATTTAAAAAATATTATTTATTAGTTCTCTTATAAACAACAGTAATAAACTCATTACATGTTAACATCAGAGCAATGACATCATCACATATTATGTAGTTTCTGGAAAACTCCACCATACACTTAGAATGAGCATGAAAAAGGTAAATAACATCTTAATTATTATTTAAAACATTTGATTTCATAGGTCTTCCTCATCCCCAACTCCAAAGTGAGTCATGATAATTCAATTCAGTTTTACTCAAGATAAGTAAGACTAAAAACAAAAATTTATTTTCTGGTCTGAGATTCCTCTCAACCCAGAAAACATGTACTTGGGGCGTGGGCAACATGGACACTGGAATCTGGATTGTACTTGGTTAGTCATAGAAAGGGCAGAAAATAGTTCTTTAATCTGGATATGGACCTGCTGACGCCTGCCCATTTTAAAAATAATACTTTTCTGGCCTTTCAGAAATGAAAACTGGCTGGTTTTAACCTTTCATTAATCTCCTTAATCATGTGATTTTTGAGAGTGGGTGGGCATGGAGACCTAGAACCCAGTGGTTCTCAAAGTGTGGTCTCCAGACCACTCTCAGCAGCATCACCTGGAACTTGTTACACGTGTAAATCCTCAGCCGGCCGGTACCTGCTGACTCAGAAACCCTGGAGATGCCCCCCACCCGTGGCCGAACCAGGCCTCCAGGTAATTCTGATTTGCTAACCATGTTGCTAACAGTTTGAGGGCTACTAAGGGGCGAACTTTTCCATGTTACCTTCTGTCAGTGTGATCTCCCTCCCTGTGCCATACTGCCTTCTTCTTTCCTTCCATCCATAAACATTGAATGGATTGATCCCTTATCAGTGCTTTTATAACACTGATTCGGAAATGTAAGCATTCGCACATGATGCGTCTGTGAACATCACATTCGTGCAGACCAAATTCAGAGCATCATTTATAGCAATCCCACAGAAACTAACTCATAAGGGGGTGTGTTAGTAATGTACAGGTAGAGTTTTTTACTAGGTACAGTTCATTACCTGGGACTTAGTTTACCCTTTTTTTCCCAGCATACCTCTAGTAAAAATCCTTTTAAACACTGAAGCTCTGTGATCCCCCAGAGGCTTGGCTGCCCTCTGTCGGTGTTAGCCAAAGATTACTCTGCTATGGCTTCTGTTTAGAAGTTCAGACTGAAGGTTCAGTGAAAGGGGGCTAGTTTAGAGGACGGAGCTAAGGACAAAAAGATTCAGAGTTCTTAGAAAGCATTCATTAAGGAATGTGGCCAGGAGAATGGACTAATCAACCGAATCAATCAGAAGCTGGGGAAGGATCTCAGTCAATCACAGGATGGGGTCCAATTACATAGGGTAAGGAGTGTGTGTATATGTGTCTATTTACATTCCTGCTAGGGTTTTCCTTGGGATTTCTAAACTGGGACGTTAGGATGGAATTAACATGAAGCCACTGTTCTTTATACCATATATGGTGTGGACAGAGTCCCATGCTATTCAAGCTTGAGTGACCATGTCGACATGAAAGTAAGACCTACAGTTCTGGCGGTTCTTTCCTGTTCTTCCAGTGACCTTGGAACTACTGCTGAGAAGCAGGTCGAGTTCACTCATTGATACTACAGAGCTGGTTTTGTCATGAGGTTGCAGTTGCCCGGTGTGTCAGCGTGGGACTTCAGAGTTTTCCAAAACCGGAGAGATCACGGGAGATGCCTCTTGGGTAAGTGTTCGACTTCTTTGATTTTGCTCGTGCTTTATGACTTCTGTGAGCTGTTCTTGGCTTCTTACCACTCCTGGTTTTCTAGATTGTTCTTCTCCTCTTCCTCCTGTAGTGATACAGCTAAGTCACAGTCATAGGTGTAATAATGCACCAAGAAAAAAAATGTGATCCCCACCCTAAACCGATGTGCCTAGAGCCTTTCACATAAACCCCACTGACCTGCTAACTTAAAATTCCACCCCTGGATCCTGTTACCTTCCCACAGGCTGAAATCTGACCCCAAGGCCTCTCGGTGCCTCCAGAGGCCCAGACTGGCTGCCCTGTGGCTCCTACAGCAGGATGATGCAATCATTGTGCCGTGAGTAGATCTTCCATTTCCTTGTCAGCTCCAGGGCTGGGTGGTTACGGGTGTGGAGCCTGCGTGGATCTCAGGACTGCAGGATGGGTTCTGCTTTGGGGCTGATCCCCCAAGGGGTGTCCTGCTATTTGCATTTATTTCATCCAGAGGCTAAGGAGTCCCTCTGTCATACTCGAAAATCTGGGGTCATCCCTGCTCCATCTTCCTTAACCCTTAGTGCCAATCAGCTGGAAAATCCTGCTAATTGGACCCCCTTTATGTATTTCTTGATTCTTGTCCTCCTTTTTAATGTGTGCCCACTGACCTAGCTCATGCTCACCGTGTCTCTCCAAATATTCTGTCATAACTGCCACCATGATTCCTTGGTCCCTTAATCTAGCCTCTGTTGTAGCCAGACTGTCCGAAGGGCCAGTGCTACCATTTGTCCCTGGGTCAAGCTTCTGTGGCTCTCTGTTGCCCTCAGTATAGGGTCCGAACCCCTCTGTCTGACCTGTGGGTCTGATGGTCAGTGTCCATCCCTACAGCACTGCTCTCACCACTGCCCGTGCACCTCACAAGCTGATGTTGAGAACTGCCTGACTTCTCCGGACATTGTCCTTACCTTACCTCTCCCCTTGCTCCCCCCCGTCCCCACTTAGCAGCCATCTCCCGTCTTCCTTTATCCGGCCAGAGGCCCCGTCAACTCTTGTTGGCACCCCATGTAGGATTAAGTGTCCTTCCTTTTTGCTCCTATAACACCTCAATCTTGGGCTTTAAAAATTTGTATTTGCACTCTCTATTTTTGGCCTCTTCTCCTCCATGGGTCTGTAAGCTCCTCAGAGCAGGGGCCATTTGCATTCATCTTTGGGTCCCTAGCAAGTGCTTGGCACATAGCAGATATTCTTGTGACAGTGTTTTGTTTTGTTTTGTTTTAATTGAGATACGATTGACATGTAACATTGTGTAAGTTTGTGCTATACAACATGTTTATATATTTTTTACTATATTGTATTACTGTATTGCAACATGATTACCACCATAGCGTTAGCGAACACCTCCATCGAGTCACATAATTATCATTTCTTTTTTGTGGGGAGAACATTTAAGATCTAGTCTCTTAGCAACTTTGAAGTATATAATATGGTATTGTTGACTATAATCACTATGCTGTGCATTAGATCTCCAGAAATTATTCATTTTCTTTTCTTTTTTTTTTTTTAAAGATTTTATTTATTTATTTGTCAGAGAGACAGAACACAAGCAGGGGGAGAGGCAGGCAGAGGGAGAAGCAGGCTCCCCGCCGAGCAAGGAGCCCGATGTGGGACTCGATCCCAGCACCCTGGGATCATGACCTGAGCCGAAGGCAGACGCTTAACCGACTGAGCCACCCAGGCGTCCCGAAATTATTCATTTTCTAATTGCGAGCCTGTGCCCTTTGCCCAACATCTGTATAGGAGATATTCTATAAATTTTTTTGAATTATGTGGAGGACAGAAGGTGCAGAGAAGGGATAATAATAGTAGCAGTGCTAAGTGATTTTCATGAATTGATAGCTCCTAGTTTCTAGCCAGCACTGTACTATAAGAACTTTCTGATGATGGTAATGTTTTGTATCTGTGTTGTCCAATAAGGTAGCCGTATGAGGCTATTGAACACCTGACATGTGGCTAGTGTAGCTGATGAACTGAATGTTTTATTTTATTTCATTTATTTAAGTTTAGACTAAAATATCCACCATGTGGCCAGTGGCTACCGTGCTGGACGGTATAGTCCTAGACCTTCCCCAGCCCTTACTGAGTCCACAGGAATATCTCATCACTTCCTGCCTTGCTCAGAGCTCCCGTGGGGCAGGGCTGTAAGAATGGTGTGCTGGTAAATGATTAACAACCAGCTCTCTGAAAAAGTTGGCCTATTTCCATGGTGTACGTATCCCACCACGCCCGGTTTCGAGCTACCAACGTGACATAAGTGAACACAGAATTGGGAAGAGGTATACAGTAGCAGACCATCATATTGCAATTCCTCGATACAGATACAATAGATTTAAATAACCCTGAGAACAAATAAAGTAGTAAAATAATTAGAAAGTGGCTACTTTGGAGTATTTATTAACTTTGTTTTTAATATAACCTATGTAACTATGTTTACATACTGAATTTTCGATAATGGCTGTGCTTAAAAACAGTTCACAAAATTCATGAAAATTCAGCTTTTGGTTGTCAGGAGCCAGGGGAAGCCAACAGCTGTTGTTTATCACTGGCTCCTAGTAATTGGTCCAAAAAAAAAAAAAGTCAAATGTAGGATTTCTGTGTGGCCACAAGAGGGCACCACCAGGTGAAATTAGATTCTAGGAAGGCTTTTCTCCCTAGCTAGACCGGGTGGCAGAAAGCTCAGTTTGAGGAATGAATGTGTGTCTCCTGAAAGACCGTAATTCTGGGAGAGCTTCCGGGAACTCATCTAGTTTCAGGGTATTCGTTACGTCACAGCATAAATTCCAAACGTTTACCACTGCCAAATACCTTTGTCCCTTTGTGTCTGAAGGCTTTTTTTTTTTTTTAAGATTTTATTTATTTGACAGAGACACAGTGAGAGAGGAAACACAAGCAGGGGGAGTGGGAGAGGGAGAAGCAGGCTTTCCATGGAGCAGGGAGCCCAATGCGGGGCTCGATCCCAGGACCCTGGGATCATGACCTGAGCCGAAGGCAGACGCTTAACGACTGAGCCACCCAGGCGCCCCTAATTTTTATTTTATTTATTTATTTAAATTTTTTTTTTTAAGATTTTATTTATTTATTTGAGACAGAGAGAATGAGAGACAGAGAGCATGAGAGGGAAGAGGGTCAGAGGGAGAAGCAGGCTCCCCGCAGAGCAGGGAGCCCGATGCGGGGCTCGATCCCAGGACCCTGGGACCATGACCTGAGCCGAAGGCAGACGCTTAACGACTGAGCCACCCAGGCGCCCCTGTGTCTGAAGGCTTTTTATCTTGAAGCTACCAAGTGAAAATTTCCTTGAAGGGTATTAGGTCTTGTCAGCGCAGGGAGGGGAGGACCGACCACGTGTTGGGTTCCCACAATGTACTGAGTACCTGACCCACTTCATCTCACATAATCCCAAAATAACGCCTCAGGAAGCAGCTCATACCGTAGAGAAGTGGGTAGACTGTCAGGTATTTACATGAGCAATTCCTAATACAATAACCCTAGGGGGCTTATCCTCTGCATTGCACTAATTGGCACTTTTTAATCCACATGAGGGAAATCAAGAGTATTTGTGGGCCCGATGACCAATAGAACAATAAAAGACATCTGATGGTTTTTCTCTGTCTGGGCTAATTGTAGGATCTAAGAGCTCTGGGTTTTGGGGGATGAATCTGTGTGTTCTCAGGGTCTTCCTGGGGAGTTTAAATCAAGGTGGGTTAAATGGCACATTTATGGGATGTCCTGGATAGTCAGGACAGTGACATAGGAGGTCTGTAGGCTACTGTCTAAAGGGAGGGAGAAACTGGCCTTTCTGTGTGTGTGTGTGTGAAATGAATTCACTCTCTTGATCCTTCCTGCTATCTGTCTAGTGCAGTGGTTCTCAAAGTTTGGTACCTGGAACAGCAAGCATCAATATTACCTGGGAATTTGCTAGAAATGTAGATTTTTTAGGCTCCACCCCAGACCTGCTGAATCAGAAACTCTGGAGGCAGGGCCGGGCAGACTGTGTTTTAACAAGCCCTCCAGGAGCTTCTGATGAACAAGCCCACTCAAGTTTGGGAATTACTGGCCTAGCACAGAGTTGTCAAAACTGGATGCATGTGTATTGGGTGCCTCTGAGGAGTTTTAAGGAAATACCAATGTCTTAGTCACAAAAGTTCATATACTGTATGATTCCATTTATGTGAAATGTCCAGAACAGGCAAATCCAGAGATGAGAAGTGGATTTGTGGTTTCCAGGGAATGGGGGAATTGGGGAGTACAGGGTTTCCTTTTGGGGTGATGGAAATGTTCTGATGTGTAATGAGTTAGTGGTGGTATATACACAACGTTGCCAAAAACCACTGAATTATGCACTTTAAAATGGTTAGAATGATGAATTTTATCTCAGCTGGAAAGAAAAAGATTGATGTCCTAGAGATTCTGGTTGGAGAGCAAGCACTGGTTTAAAAAAAAAAAAAATCTCTCCTGGTTGTTCTAATCAGCAACTTGAAAATCCGAGTTAATGCAACTAAGGCCACATGTGGGTCACGTCCCAGTCAAGGGCGTTCGGTCTGAGTGTCCGCAGTAGGTGTAGTGGGGAGCGCCGGAGAGGAAAACCCAGGGGGACACTGCCCTTGATTTCCTTCCAGCCACGTGATGGGAGCAGAAAGGTCTTGGGCTCTAGATTCAGGTTGCAGTTTTGGCCTCTGCCATGCACACCTGTTTGTGTTGCTTGATCAGGGCACCTGTAGTTGTTTCAAATGTTCAGAGAAGTTCAGGAATGTTCATTAGATACGCATCGAGCCTGGCATACAGTAGGCGCTCAACCAATGCTAGTTTCCTTTGCTTTCCCATTTCCCTGCGCTTGGGTTCTTGTTGGGCACTTTGGGGATGTGTGGGTTGACCAGTTCTCTCTATGACTCCCCAAACCGCTGCAGGTTCATAGGAGAAGGGGGCGGGCGGGGGGCGAGGGGATCTCTGCCCAAGCTCTTCCCACACCAGGCTCCACCAGCTAGCTCCGGCCAGGGCTTCGTGACCCCGACCGCCTGGACTCACCATCTCCGCCGCCAGGTGAGCCCGCTCAGAAGGAGGACGCCAATGAGCAGGAGAACGCAGCCGGCCACTGTCAACAGAGAAGCAGTTCAGCAAAGGTGCCCGCTGGGCCGGGTTGCAGATCAGGCTGAGAAAATCCCCGCAGAGCAAGGGTTTCCCGAAGAGGGGTGCACTGGCGTTTCTGCCTTCCCTTCCCAGAACGCAGCTCCCACCCGACATGATTTCCTAGGAGGCTCAGGGACTGGGGCTGGAGCCCTGGGGAGGTGGGAAAGGGCTTGGCGCCTTTCCTCGAGGGGCTTGGCTCTTTCTGAGGGGCATGAAGTAACTGACAAGCATGCTCTTCACCAAGGTTCAGAGGCCTCAGTTAAGGGGGCCACCAGGGAGGCCTGCGATGGGTGAAGGAAACGTCGAAATACAAGGAGAAAGGATAGACACATAAGCATCTCTTTAAAGTGTTCCTATTTCCCAAATGCTGCCTTCCTCTGGTGCTGGAGCCACCTCCCTGCCTGCCCCACTAACCACCCGTCTTGCATGGGCTTCACAGTGCATTTTTCCTTTTCTTCCCCAAACTGTCCTGACACGTAACCGACATTTGCGGCACGCAAGGGATTGATTTGATGTGAGTGTACATCACAACACGATTAGTACCTTAGCACTAGCTAACACCTCCAACCACCCCTCCTGTCTACCGTTTCCTTTTTGCGGTGAGAACACTTGAGATTTACTCCTTCAGCAAATTTCGAGTATATAATACCGTACTGTTAACCAAAGTCACCATGCTGTCCATTAGCTCCCCAGGACGTAGTCATCTTCCAACTGGGAGTCGGTGTCCCTCCACCAACATCTCCCGGTTTCCCCCTGACCCACAGCCCCCACAACCACCACTTTGCTCTGTTTCTATGAGCTCGTTTTTTTCTCCCCCTCTCAAAGCCTGTTTTTCTCTCCTACCAGGAAACAACTGTGGGGTTTATGGGGTATTTTGTCATTTAGGATCCATTCAGGAGGAGCTTCTTGGGGCTGCTTTGAGAGTTCACAGTCCGCTTACTATGACTGATTACTGTGAGTTTGTGTTGTTAATATCCGGATTAGTCTTTTACTCGTGTAACTATTAAACAGTGTAAGGAGTGGGGCATTTTAAGCTAACCGACCAACTGACTGACCCACCAGACCACCAAGCAACATATCCCACAGTCTCTGTCTGGGGTGTGTTTTGTCAACAGAAGGCGTGCCCCCTACCCACCTGCTATCTGATACTCGGTTGTGAATATGAATGACTCCACGGTGGTAGCCGCTTCTGTGAGTTTGTGGAAATCTGTGCAGAAGAGAGATGAGAAGATGCTCGGTTTGTGCTGATTATCAGACTGCGCTAGCTGGAGAGCTTAGGACCTCTCGTGAGCTAGAGCCTCGGAGCCTGGCAGAAGGCATCTGACGGACAATCATTTCTTCTTCTGCCTTGAGATGCCATCCTCAGCCTGGCTTCTCCTGTTTCCGACACTTGCTTTTGACATGTTTGTTTGTTTTAAAGATTTATTCATTTATTTGAGAGAGACAGAGAGCAGGGGGGAAGGTGGAGGGAGAGAGACAAACTTAGACTCTACACCCAATGTGGAGCTGGACACGGGGCTCGATCTCACAACCCTGAGATCACAACCTGAGCCAAAACCAAGAGTCAGACGCCCAACTGACTGAGACACCCCGGTGCCCTGCTTTTGCTGTGTTTGAGGGTTGGGAGGTCAGAGGGGAAGGTGCTATTGCTGACCCAGCTGCGGGAGGGGCCGCCCCAGGCAAACGGTCTTCCTTCTCTTGCCTGACCTTCAGGGCCGAGCTTTTATCCTCCCAGAAATTCTAGTCTTACCTGTAGCACTTGTTGTTATCAAGGGACAGGAAGTGTCTCTCCCAGGAGGAGCATGGGTGCTTGCTTGAGGCTCTTCTTCATCACCTGGTGGAGAGAGGAAGTGATGAGGGTGGGGAATGCGGGTTTCCTCAGCTGACCCCAGACACAGTGGGGTGCCGATCTCCATTCTCAGCACTTTGTCTGGGGGTCCCACACAGTGTGGCTCTACAGCAGGGTCTGGGGCAAGTGGGTAAATGGCTCCAGCAAAGCCTGGTCAGAGGGAATTTTGACCCTGATCCTGGCTCTGTGGAATCCTGAGCAACTTCTCATCCCCAAGCTTCCTCTTCAGCCCTGGTTTCCATCTGTGGCTTGGAAACAGGTCATAATAATCCAGATACCACCGAAACATCAAATGAAGTAGAAATGCACAAAAGGACAGCTTCTCTCTGTGACAGGTTCCCTGTTCTTTGCGGGGGTTTCCAGTTACCCAGGACACTGCCCTGTCATCCTCTTCCAAGGGAAGCGACACGCGCGGCAAGTGCCCCGGCCAGCCATGTGGCTCCCTGCAGGCACACTGCCAGGGAATGTCATCAGAAGGACTCGAATGCCAACTGACCCATGGACCCAGGCACTCGGAGGCTCCTCACCCGCTTCCCTGTCCTGAGAATATGACTCCCGCTTGCCTTTCCCACTCCCAGAGGCTTCTCCAAGGACACAGCCTTGAGCTAGTGACGTGGTGTCGAGAACACCTGCAGCGTCTATGTGACTGAACCCGGTTAAGGCCTCTTTATAAACTTGTAAGATCTGGTGGGGGAGCGCGGGGATCTGTTCGTCTTGCGGCCAGCCCCACAGGAGCCCTGTATGTAAGTTCCCTCTGCTTACTCAAACCGCCACCTGCCAACGGTGCCCTGCCTCTTTCTCTGGTCTCTCCCCGCGCTGCTCCGCTTACCGGGCTGGTTTCAGATTTCACCCAGGGAAACTCCCGGGAGAGGCGGTGAGGTAAGAAACCGGTAACACTTGGGTTTAAATGTGAGCGGCTTTTGGTTGTAAAAATAGTAATACGCTTTCAGAATGAAAATAGTAGACCTCCGCAGAGGTGGGCTGTACATTTGTCTGAATGAGTGTGTGTGCGCGTGCACATGCCTGCTTGAATCAGCCCCTTCCCTGCACATTTGCACTTTTATCAAAGCTCAGGGGGGAATTACAGGAGAAGGAGCATGCTAACAGTGGAGTGCCGGACAAATAATGAGTGTGCATTATATATCAGTAAATTAGAACCGCGTGGGCGGCAGGCTGGACTTGCCCTTTTGAATGAGAGGAGGTCTCGGTAGCTTAGAAGAAGAAGTCGAATTTCAGGATCGGCTAGGACAGGGCAGCATCGTCTCCAGTGAAGTAGCATCTGGGATGCTTTGCAACACTCGAGAGATCGTCCCTCCTCTTCCACCTTCTACCATTTATCCTCACTCAGGGTATAGGGAACCTTAGGTGATAGAGACCTTAGTGTATCTGGTCTATTTTCTAGAATGAGAGAAAACGGAGGCCCAAGGAGGCGAAGTGGTTTGCCCGCGGTCACATAGCTGGTGGGTCAGGAATTCCACTCCGCTCAGCCCGATGGAAAGAGCAGGGTGATAGAGCCCAACCAGGTGCCTCCACACCTGGAAACCAACCGTTCTTACTTTCACTTATGCACTTGAGCTGGGGCTGTGTCCACTGGGTCTTCCCTGAGATGGTTTTGCAGATGCTCTTGTCAGAACCTCTCCGCAGGGCCCTGAATCCCTGCGCGCACTGGTAGCGAACTGTCTGCCCCACCACAAAGTGGTAGATTCTCTTTGAATCTTCATGTTCCCAGGAAGGAGGCTCCCTGCAGTGACCTGAAGAGGGAAAGGAAGTTCTGAAGGCATCCTGAGTGAACCCGAGTTCGACTTGCCTCTTTGTACACACCGGACCTTGGTTCTCATTTTGTTCATTCATTCAGTCTTTTTTTTTTTTTTTTTAAGATTTTATTTATTTATTTGACACAGAGAGAGAGCACAAGTAGGGGGAGGTGTAGGCAGAGGGAGAGGGAGAAGCAGGCTCTCCGCCAAGCAGGGAGCCCAATGTGGGACTCGATCCCAGCACCCTGGAATCATGACCTGAGCCGCTTAACCGACTGAGCCACCCAGGCGCCCCCATTCGTTCTTTCTTTTATTCGACCAATATGTACTGAGAACTTCTGTGTGTCAGGAACTTTGCCAGGCATTTGAGGGAAGGCACACAGACCCCATCACTCCCGTGGGAGTGGACGATGGATTGAATGAGGAAGACATCTGAAGGCAGAATGTGCTGAGTGTTATTGCTGAGGAGCAGACATTTGCTGTGGGAACCCAGAGGAATGTGCAGTTACTTGTGGTGATGGCCAGGGTTCTCATAAGTGGACAGGAGTGGGAAGGGCAGTCTCAGCTGAGGAATAAAGGTAGGCTCAAGCCCACTGGGGTCAATGAAAGGTGAAGCCCACCGTGAATGAGGAGGCACATCCCCGGGTGGTGGCTCCTGGTCATCTTGGGGCTATGGCTGAAGGACTGGAGATAGAGCCAAAGTCAGAAGGAGGGAAGGGCTGAGAGAATCTCAGGGAAATGGAACCTGGATCTCTGATCAAGCCATGCCTAAAGCTTGCTCTATGTGAGCCCTGCCAAGGCCTCTGAAAGTTCTCCATGCCCTCAAACCTTCCACTCGCCCAACTAAAACCCAAGCCTGACTGGTCTTTAACCCCAGTGATCATGTCCTGCTCTGATTTGTTCTCAGGATTCCCTACCCCACCCCAAATCTGGATATACGGGACCACATGTACCCTCTCTCCCCAGACATGTGCTCTGACCTTCCAGACCTTCCACAATCTGAATACCCAATACGACCTTTAAAAGGATCATACACATCACCCCCCTGCCCTTGCAAATCATGGCTGAACTTGTGCTTTAGTCTCAGAATAAAATTTCTTTAACAGCCAATAAAATCCATGATGGTCTGAACCTGTTTAAATTACATGTGCTTCTCTCAAATGAAAACATCCCATTAAGAGGATCTGTGGCCAGAACCAGTGGTTATCTCTTGAATAAGGACAACAAACATTGACCTCCTGAGAAACCTTGAAATAACCATTCAGGGTAATATGGGAAAAAGAGAGAAAAACAAACAATTAAATGTGTTTTGAAATGCCATTCAGACCAAAGTTGGGGTACAACATAAAAACATCATATTGCAACAGTGTCCCTGGATTTGTCTTTTTTTTTTTTTTTAATAATGGAAGCTGCAAAGAAGTTAAAATTAATTTAAAAGAAGTAATCAGTAGAAAGGTCCCTAGTAAGACCTGAGGACTTCCTCCTAAATGTGAGTTTATCCAAGTCTTTTAACTTCTCTGTGTCTCATTTTCTTCAGTAAATCAAAGTAATAACCCTGCTCCCTGACTCATTAGGTTGTGAGGTTCAAAAGAAATTATATACAAGATGATAAAGTGTTTTTGGAAGGTAATACAATTAGCATAGGACAATAGGGTCTTGTAAAGGTCAGTGGGTCCCCCAAAAGCTCAGGTTTTCCTAACGGCTCTATGTCCTCGCGACATGAGGACCCAACTTCACCGTGATTCATTTTGGAGTTGTGCTCGCTCTCCCACATCCCCTTAGCTAAGAGGTTTGCAACTTTAATGCTCACCAACATGGCACTGCATGTTTCACAACCCTGTTTATAAGGTAAACATTTTGAGGTAAATTGCTTTGCTGGCAGTTGATTACCTTGTATTGAAGGGGAAAACACAGAGCATTTCCTCGAGGGCAGGAATGGCTGTCTACAGGGCTGGGCACAGAGAGTCCCAGTATACATGCTTTTGAACTCAGATCAGTTGCACTGCGTTGAATTGAATTGAGCCCAGTTCTACTTGGCCAACTCCCAAAGCAGGAGGAAGCCCAGAGCCCATGTTGGCTTGAAATCCTGAGTGGCGCTAGAGTCCACAAACACTGCACAATCGTTCTTGTTTGCCTGATATCCTGACAGAGGAGGATTGTGGAACAGACTTCCCTCCTCCGGGGAGCACGGGGTATACCCGCGGGAGAAGGGTTGGCTCCCAGGAGTCAGCGAGACCGCGGTGCAGATCCGCCTCTTACCTGGAAGGTTACCTTGGTCCATGGGTGGCGTTTGGCTCTGCATTTCCTTCTGTTCTTTGGGTTTAGGAGTAACTTGTCCTTCTGTGCTCTTGGAGGCTAGAGAATATAGATAGAAAGAAGCAAATAACTTCACAGAGGCTTAAAATAGAAAACACTCTTTGTGTATTCATTTATTCAAAGAGCACCTTTCCACTGCCTGTGACATGCCAGGCAGTATTGGGGTGCAGGGGTTACAAAGAAGAGCCACACACACACGCGCTGCCCTTGGGGTGCTCTCAGTGGGGCCTGGCAGTATTCCCGTGCATGATGTCAGTGGCCCACAACGTGTTTCTGAAGGAACTGAAAGATTGTCTGATGCATGTGTGTCGCCCCTAAAGGGACTCCATTCCTGCCACCCACCTGCCAGCCTTGTGCGCAAGCGGCGCAATGGCCGGGAGGAATGGTGTGACTCCCCTTGTTTCCCGAAAGCAGTCCACTTAAAAGGTAAAGGGATTCAGTCTTAAAGCAAGCACAAGAGAAGCCTCCTACCACACTCCTCTCTAATGTGAAGACTTTGGCAAAGGAGTTGAGTATGGGCACCGCCGTGAGGGGCTCGGGATTCTAGCTGAGGGTCCGGGGAGGGTCTGCTGGGAAAAGAGGCAATGGGGTGCTTCAGCAGAGGTCCCCAGACCTTGCAGTCTGTGCCTGGTGTGGATGGCACAGAACTCTCTGTGGCTCACAGACACCATCTCCAGGGCTGAGGAATAAAAGGACAAATGGACCCCCCCACTTTTCACCACGTTCTAGTATCACAGAGTGGACAAAAGACCTGGTAGAGAAATCGGGCTTGTGAGAGAGCTTTCAGGATTCAAAGAAGAACACAGAATAGCAAAATCAGCGCAACTTAGGTTTAGAAAGCCCCTCGGGGGTCATTCCCTCCACATTCCACTCCAGGAAGGTGACCGGCCTACAGTCTCCTAGCGAGCAGTTCTGCCTTCTCTGCTCGCCCTTGCCAGCAGCTATGAGGTTCAGGACCCTTAGTCCACTGCTGATTCCAGTCACGTCTGGCAGTGAGGGCCACAGGCTCTCAAGCCAGGGTAAAAAGTCCAGAAATAAAGACATTCGAAGGGAACAGCTTCCTCTTCCTCTCTGCTTCCCCAGTGTAGATTTGGGGTCTCGCCCACACACCGGCCTGACCTGCCTTTGGACTTGATTTTCTCCCTGTTCCCCCAGCGCAGCCAGGGTCTTGCAGGACTGGAACAGGGGACAGTGGGGTCTTTGGGGGAATTTATTTCTCACACTCTGGAATGCCAGTTCCTGACACTGGGCTGGGAAGACCCTGGACTGACAGTCCTTTCTGCTTGACCATGTATTTGCCCTCTGAAGAAATGCCCAAAAGGCCCCATGGGAGTCACACTGAAAATTTCCGTAATAGGGGTGCCTGGGTGGCTCAGTTGGTTAAGCGTCTGCCTTCGGCTCAGATCACGATCCCAGGGTCCTGGGATCGAGCCCCACATCGGGCTCCCTGCTCAGCGGGGAGCCTGCTTCTCCCTCTGCCCCTCACCCCGCTCATGCTTTCTCATGTTTGCTCTCTCTCAAATAAATAAATAAAATCTTAAAAAAAAAAAAGAAAAAAAAATTTCGTAATAGATAAGACTCTCTGACTCAGTAGCATGAGCTTCTCTTCCCTTTATTTTTAACTCTCATCAGGGAAGGAAATGCCTCGCCCACTGCCTCCACTTTTCCACCCAGAGCTTCTTCCTTAGGGTTGCGGATATGGACACTGAAGAGGGAGGGCACAGAGGCATCCTGGGGAGCTGTTGGGAATTCACGCTGCCATGTTGCTGGGGGTGGAGCTAGGATAGGTGAGTGGCACCAGTCAGCATATGGGTGGCATGAGGTGTGAGCTTCTGTCTCCCTCTTTGCTGGGGTTCTTCTCTTTCCCTCGGTGTCACAAAAGGAAACACTTACATGTACTTATGCATTGGCATTTGTTTTCCCAGGAAGCGTGGCTAGAGTTTCCTGCACAACGCATGAAGTTGCTTAGTCTGCGGAAGCCTCTCTCACAGCCGCAATTTAACATCGTGCCCGTCTTGTATTGGAGAGCTCTGTATGTGGCATGCTGGAGGTTTGGTGGGTTATCGTCACAAAGGTCTGCAAAGAAAGAGAGGTGTGTTAGGAGTTCAGGAGGTTCCACTCTAACACTCACATACTTAACCCTGTGATGATTTCGTCACACACTTCACTTTCTTTAAAGGATTTATGGGTGCCTCCACCTCTTCCCAGAAAGAAATGAAGGCTGTCGCCACCGTCCTTTAGAAACCTTTGTATCAGAGATGGTGCAAACTTTGACTTCAACCAAGTTCCTCTCCACATTACAATTTATTTCAAACTAAATGAATAGAAACGAATGAGGTTTTATTCTGAATATGCCTCATGCTGAACAAGTATAGAAAGAGAGAAGACGACCAGAAGATATGAGGAAAAGAAGGAGGAAAGCCATGTAAATTTAATTGAGGGACATGTGTCGGCGAGAAATACTTTTCAGGAAATAAGGATTGTCAGAATTTCTATAATTAATGATTCTGTACCACTTTCCTTTTCTTTTCCTTTCCTTTCCTTTCCTTTCTTTTCTTTTCTTTTTGAGAAATATATGCAAAGTGCTCTACCCAAAGTCTGGCAAGTAGGAAGTATGTATTTTTCACTCACCTACACACCACTGAGTTTACCAAATTCCTTCTCATACCACAAAAACTTGACCCTTTCTCAGCCCCCTTCAAAAACAGACACTGGTTTCCCACCAAGGACACCTGAAATAGTGGCCAAATGCCCAAGTATTAAGGAAATAAAAGGCGCTGCTCAAATCAGAAAAATGATTCCATTGCATATCTTGCAACAAGTCCTGCTTCGAGAGATTAGATTTTTAGGGAAAAGCCACAGGCTGGATAAGGAGAGTGGCTAGGAAGGATCACAGGAACCAGCACAGGCACCACATCCAGCTGGTTGCTGCACTCGTTGCTGGCAGAGGACAGTCCAGCGATTGCTTATTAATCATCACTCCATTGGAGTGAGACTTCTCTTTGTCCTTACGCTGTGCCCAGCGTCTTGCCGTGCTGAAGACCACCCTTGTCCAAGACTCAGGATACTCCTGATCTCCGAAATCACGGAAGATGAGGAGAGTGTGGACAGCTCACCCCAGCTCTCACCAAGAAGGGTCTAAATGGAAACAATTTGAATGGCTCAAAGGGCCAGTGATTGTGAAGGGACATGTAACCTATGTACTGAATAAATACTGGTAATCATAATAATCATCATATTAAGGCAAGAAAGGTAGCATGGTGGAAAGGGGAGAAAAATGGGCTTCTAGATCCTAGCTCTACCAGCTTACTAGCTATATAGTGTCACTGCTTTTACTTATCTAAGGCTTGGCCACTCTTTCTGTAAACTGGGTATTATAATCATCGTCATCATTTTACTGTTTGTTTTATTTGTTTATTTTTATTTTTTTTAAGATTTTATTTATTTATTTATTTGACAGAGAGAGAGAGAGAGCACAGGCAGGGGGAGTGGCAGGCAGAGGGAGAGGGAGAAGCAGGCTTCCTGCCGAGCAAGGAGGCCGATGCGGGGCTCAATCCCAGGACCCTGGGATCATGACCTGAGCCGAAGGCAGATGCCCAACCAACTGAGCCACCCAGGTACCCCTTACTGTTTGTTTTAAAGATTGCATGAAATAACATACAAAGGTAACTTGCAGAGCACCCCGCACATAATAGACAAAAAATAGATGCCCGTTCTGCTTCCTTCCTTTTTTCCTCTGTCCAGGAAAGGAGAATGGTAATTCAGATAGAGGCAGGGCTGAAGTATACCTTGACTCTGTCTCCTGCAAGAGGTCATCTCTCTCTACAGCCCATATCCTCAGTACCATTCACTGATACTTGTTGTACATCAATACCAACCTATGTTTTGAGTATCAGAAGGTAAATCTGTTGCTAAAACAAGGTAATAATAATAATCCCAAAAACCAATGAAAGAACAAGGCAAGGATGTACCCTCTCATCACCACTTTTCAACATGGTGCTGGAAGTCCTAGCTAATGCAATTAGAAAAGAAAAGGAAATAAAAGATGTACAGATTGGGGAGGAATAAAACTTCCTTTTGCAGATGACATGATTGTCTACGTAGACAATCTGAAAGAACAGACAAAACCCCTTGTGGTACTAATAAGCAATTTTAGCAGGGTTGCAGGATACAAAGCTATTATACAAAAGTCGGTTGCTTTGCTATATACCAGCAAGGACAAATGGAAATTGACCTTAATAACACAATACCATTTCCATTAGCACCACCACAATAAAGTGCTTTCGTATAAATAGAACAACATATCTATAAGAACAATATAAGGAAAACTACAATACTCTGGCATAAGTAATCAAAGAACTCAATAAATGGAGAGATATTTCATGTTCATGGATAGGAAGATTCAATATTGTCAATATGTTAATTCTTCCCAACATGATCTATAGATTTAATGCAATCCCAATAAAACTCCCAGTAACTTATTGTATGGATATCAATTCTGATTCTAAAATGATTCTAAAGTTCATATGGAGGGGCAGAAAAATCCAGAATAGCCAACACAGTATTGAAGGAGAAGAACAAAGTTGGAGGACTGACACTACCTGACTTCAAGATTTACTATCAAGCTACAGTAATCAAAACAATGTGGTATTGGCGAAAGAATAAATAACACATAGACCAATGTAACAGAATAGAGAAATAGAAATAGAAATAGACCCACACGAATATAGTCACCTGATGTTGGACAAAGGAGCAAAGACAATACCATGGAGCAAGGGTAGTCTTTTCAATAAATGGTGCTAGATCAATTGGGTATGCACACGCAAAGAAACGGATCTAGACACAGACCTTACGTCCTTCACAAAAATTAACTCAAAATGGATCACAGACCTAAATGTAAAACACAAAACTATAAAACTCTTAGAAGATAATATAAGAGAAGTCTAGATGACGTTGGATTTGGTGATGACTTTTTAGATGCACCATCCAAGGCACAGTCCATGAAAGAAAGAATCGAGAAGCTGGACCTCATTAAAATAAAAAATTTCTGCTCTCAAAAGACACTGTCAAGGTAGTGAAAACAAGCCACAGACTGAGAGAAAATATTTGCAAAAGATATATCTGCTAAAGGGCTGTTATGTAAAATATACAAAGAAGACTTAAACCTCAACAATAAGAAAATGAACAACCTAGTTTTTAAAACGGGCCAAAGACCTTAACAGCCACCTCACCAAAGAAGATATGTAGATGGCGGGCGCCTGGGTGGCTCAGTTGGTTAAGCAACTGCCTTCGGCTCAGGTCATGATCCTGGAGTCCCTGGATCGAGTCCCGCATCGGGCTCCCTGCTCAGCGGGGAGTCTGCTTCTCCCTCTGACCCTCCCCCCTCTCATGCTCTCTCTCTCTCAAATAAATAAAATCTTTAAAAAAAAAAAAAAGAAGATATGTAGATGGCAAATGAGCATATGATAAGATACTGCACATCATATGTTATCAGGGAAGTGCAAATAAAACAACAAGGAGATACCACTACACACCTTTAGAATGGCCAAAATCCAGAACACCAAATGCTGGCAAGGATGTGGAGCAACAGAGACCCACATGCCTTGCTGGTGGGAATGCAAAATGGCACAGCCGTTTTGGAAGAGGGTTTTTACAATTTCTTACAAAACTAAACACACTCTTACTGTGCAATCTAGCAACCATGCTTTTTGGTATGTACCCAAAGAGTTGAAAAGTTATGTGTACCTAAAAATCTGCACACAGATGTTTCTAGCAGCTTTATTCATAATTGCCAAAACTTGGAAGCTACATTCAGCTGTCCTTCAGTAGGTGAATGGATAAGTAAACTCTGGTCCATCCAGACAATAAAATAGTATTCAGTGCTAAAAAGAAGTGAGCTATCAAGCCAAGAAAAGACATGGAGGAAACTTAAATGCATATTCCTAAGTGAAAGAAGCCGATTTCAAATGCTACATACTGTGTTATTCCAACTGTATGACACTCTGGAAAAGACAAAACTATGGAGACGGTAAAAAGATCCTGGTTGCCAGGTGTTAGGGAGGAGGGAGAGGTGAACAGGCAGCATACAAAGGATTTTTGAGGCAGTGAAAATACTCTGTAGGATACTATAATGGTGGATACATGTCATTATACATTTGCCCAAACCCGTAGAATATGCAACACCAAGAGTGAAGCCTAATGTAAACTGTGGACTCTGGGTGATAATGAAATGTCACCGTAGGTTCATCAACTGAAACAAATACACTACCTGGTGGGGGCTGTTGATAATATGATAATGTGGGAGGCTGTGCATGAACGAGGTCAGAAGTATATGAAGAATCTCTGTACCTTTTGTTTGGTTTTGTTGTAAACCTAACACTACTTTAAACCATAAAGTCAATTAAAAAAAAAAAAACTTATAAGCAATGGCTATTCCCTGAGCTAGATAAAATAATTGAAGGGGGGAAAAATCAATGAGGACTTCTGCCTCTAGCCATGACAAAATTTTGGTACCAAAACTTACCCTCCTGCTGAAAACAACTTTAAAACCAGACAAAATGTGCAAAGAAAGTGTTTCCAGGTATTTAGTAACAGACAGTACAGCACTATATTATTTGAGAAGAGGGAACCATGAAGTGAACCCCACCATTGCCATGGATTCCTTCATGGCCACTTTCCTGCCAAGTCGCACCAAAGCAGAACCCAAGCAGAGCCATGGTCTCACTGCCTGAGGAGAGAAAAAAATCAGAGTTCTAGGCTGCTGGCATGGCTGGAATTTGGGTACTCCCCCAAACAGACCCACCCTTACAAAGACTAAAACCAAACCTGTTAGATAGGAGGATGCACAGGTAATTGAACTGCCTGTAAGAACAAAATTCAATACCTCTTAAAGGAAGACAACATATTCCAGACCTTCTAAATGTATAATTCACAATATCCAGCAAGTTTTTAAAAATTCTGGACATGTGAAGAAATAGGAAAATGTGATCTTTTTTTTTTAAGATTTATTTATTTATTTATTTATTTGAGAGAGAGAATGAGATAGAGAGAGCATGAGAGGGGGGAGGGTCAGAGGGAGAAGCAGACTCCCTG